GACCAATACACGGTGGGAGGGAACTAAAAGAGCATGGATATCAGAGGTTGGTGGGGATCACCAATGGCCATCTTGGAGGCTGCCTGTCATGTTATTCCCAGTCCCAAGTTGGTTAGGCTAACCAGGAGGTCACCGGTTCGATTCCGGGTCAGGGCCCATGCCTGGGTTGTGGGCTCGATCCCCAGTAGGGGAGGTACAGGAGGTAGCCGATCGATGATGTTCCTCTCATCGAAGTTCCTATCTCTCTATCCCTCTCCCTTCCTCTAGAAATGAATAAACACATACCAAAAAAAGATGAATACCTTGAAACTATGCATGTGCTTGCTTTTCTCATCCTTCTCAGGGACTTTCCCTTATTTAGCCTCGGTTTCCGCCACTTTCAGGGGTGGTAGCTGGGAAGAAGGAGAGAGGAGACAGTGGAATGAAGATGGCCCAGCTTCAGACATCCAAACCAGTTCAGAAACCACAGGGTTGGAGCCAAGTGTTCAAGGGAAAGATCAGGCCGTGGAGAGAGGAGAGGTTTTCCTCAATTCAAACTCAAGAAGGAGGAACATGGAAGTGTTACTGTCCGACAGCAAGTGGGGCTGGACGGGCAACAAGGCCTCAGAGGAGTCCCCATCCCACCGGGCTGGGGGTGGGGACAGAGATTGGGGATGTTTTCAGCGGTTACATGGGCATATCCAATGATCAACCCTCATCAACCTGACCACCTTATACCTTCATTTTAAAAAGAAAGAATACTAAACATACTCTTTTCTCAGAGTTTTGGTCTAAAACAGATTAGCCTGCCTGGCCATGGTTTGATTCCCGGTCAGGGCACATGCCCAGGTTGTAGGCTCCATCCCTAGTGCGGGGCATGTAGGAGGCAGCCCATCAATGATTCTCTCTCATCATTGATGATTCTCTCTCTCTCTCTCTCTCTCTCTCCCTCTCCCTCTCCCTTCCTCTCTGAAATCAACAAAAATACATTTAAAAAATAAAACAGATTAGCACAGCAAACAGAATTAACACCCAAGTCCCAGAGGCTCTGCACCTTCACACACACACACATACACACACACACACTCACACACACCCTCACACACACTCACACACATACACTCACACACACAC